CAGAGACAAGTAGCCTACCGCATCGTCAGCTCGTTGTTTATCCAAAGACTTTTTGTTCATTACCTTTTCTAGTAACGTTACTGTCTTCCTTTTTTTGTCTGGTTTGCCTTCGCGAACTGCATATGTGAATTTTGATTGGTCTTTCTCTGCCATTGTTTTGCTATTCCTAGGTTCCGTGCCTCTTGAATTCCTCAAATCAAACGGGTACGCGCAAGTGGGCAGGTCCTGTGTGGCAAAAGCGTGGTTGCCATGGTTGCGAGAGAGTGACAGTCGCCTAAGCCAATCCTTTGTTTCGTCCCGGAAGGAAATGAGCTGTGTTTAGTGCAGATTAAACGGTCTAGAGTCACTCGATTTTTATACTCTTTTTATCAGAGTACTTACATTTTAATTATGCATTGATATATATAGAAAGTTTAAACAAATTTGGAATTTTTTTTAAAATAAAATTTCTACCTACAATACCTTTAAGGTGAATTAAAATGCAGCCTTATTAATGAGCAAAACGTTCGGGTGTTAAGCGCACTATTTACGCGTGGCTGGGAGCAGGTGTAGATTTCTTGTGTACCAACTAACATTTGGAAAATACGAACATTTTAATGAATCCGAAAATTTACGCCAGAACCACTTTACACACGATTTTCACAAAAATTCGTTCTGCTCGTGTTTCATGAATATGACCCAATGAACGAGAGCGAGATCGACTTCAAGTCAAGGAAAGCGAAATCTTTATCGTATCATCCTTTTAACGTTTAAGGTTATTCCCCATGAATGCCGTCAGCGCTGGTCAATGCATTAAATCAATGCCATCGATCTCTATGAAGTAAAGTATCAGTTTCAGCGTTGCCCATGTGGCGCATTATGGAAGCTTATGTGTAGCAATATTCAATTTGAAATGTAATATGCAAAATGATAATGAAATATGTAAAATGACAATGCAATATGTAAAATGGCAATGCATTTCTGTATTTAAATTTACATTTTTCATTACATTTGTGCAACGTTTGGTGCAAAATGAAAATGATAATTCAATTATATAATTTACATTTGCCATTTCATACATATGTTTTAATATGTAAATTGAATACATATTTTAACGCTTTATAAGTTGCAAAATGAAAATGAAAATGTATTAAAGAAATTATTAGATCTGTTTAAAATGTTCAAGCAAAAAATGTAGCAAAATGATCATTTAAATGTTATTTTTCTTAATTGCATTTACACTCACAGTTAAGACACTTGCGATTGCATTTTCATTAAATGTCCCGCAATGAATGTAGCAAAATTCAATGTGCAAATTGAAAATGCATTCCGAGCCGATCACGCCCCTGCCCCGCCCCCTCCCGCTCTTGTCAATCACTGCATCAAGGCGGAGCTCGGCAACATTTTGAGGTGTTGGAAGGAAACATGGCGGCGGCAGAGCTGGTACGAGCGTAAATTTACTGGCAGATGAAGGGGAGCGTGAACACTAACAGAGAAATTGTAGTGTTTCCGAAGATTATTACGCGTCTGCAGGTGATAGAACAAGTGCGTTGTTGGACGGTCTGGGAGAATGTTCTGCCTTATCACCCGTTTGATGTCAACATTATGCTGCGCTGTTGTTATCTGATGCAGGACTCTGTTAATGATGGTTTCGTTTTGTATTAAATATTCTCATTGTCTGTTACACATATGCTTAACTTTATTCTTATTACTATTAACTATAATTACCCAATAATGTTGTAGATCCTACAGGTTTTCTTTGCAAATGCACCTACTCTAAAATCACAGAATATGACGGGTCAAATTCATAGCTACCAAAAAATGTGACCGCTCTTTATTTCTTCATAAATGACTGTAATGTTCAACAAAGTGACTCATGTGATGTTTAACCATCTCCCTTTTCTATTTCATAAAGCATATTGGTCAGATATTTATAAATATATAGGGTCATCACTCATCACGGAATCTGCCGGGTTTTGATGTCATCGTCTATAATTGGTCTTATATTTTAAAAACCGAACCCGCACAAACAAAACTTTAACCGGCACAAACGAACGAGACTATTTTATTTGGAGGATGTGGGGGGCTGGGTGACCTCAGAATGACCTATAAATATTCTTTAAATATCTAAAAAATCGAAGCAGCACAAACAATAAAGCAAAGTAACAGCACAAATGAAGTAAAAACGATTGAGCCTATTTTGCCAACGTTTTGCATTGGTTGGGGGCGGGGCCAACTTCACGCAGTGATTGACAAGAGCGGGAGGGGGCGGGGCAGGGGCGTGATCGGCTCGGAATGCATTTTCAATTTGCACATTGAATTTTGCTACATTCATTGCGGGACATTTAATGAAAATGCAATTGCAAGTGTCTTAACTGTGAATGTAAATGCAATTAAGAAAAATAACATTTAAATTATCATTTTGCTACAGGTTTTGCTTGAACATTTTAAACAGATCTAATAATTTCTTTAATACATTTTCATTTTAATTTTGCAACTTATAAAGCGTTAAAATATGTATTCAATTTACATATTAAAACATATGTATGAAATGGCAAATGTAAATTACATAATTGAATTATCATTTTCATTTTGCACCAAACGTTGCACAAATGTAATGGAAAATGTAAATTTAAATACAGAAATGCATTGCCATTTTACATATTGCATTGTCATTTTACAAATTTCATTATCATTTTGCATATTACATTTCAAATTGAATATTGCTACACATAAGCTTCCATAGGCGCATTGCTGCTCAGCCGAGCCTTGTAAAATGCCGCTCAAAATACATACTAAGTGACTAGAGATGCACCGATTGATCGGCTGGTGACCGGAATCGGCCGATTTTCACGTGATCGGCCATGATCGGCGACCGGCCGGTCAGTCTGACATAATCCGATTTTATGCCGGTCAAATGCAATCGGGCGCCGCATGATTAACATCGCGCAACATCATCAGCATTACCGCGCACATGTAGGAAACCTCATGAATTACGGCTGTTTCACACCGCATGTGATCGAGTCCATTTGTGCTGCGCTCAATTTAAGTGAAAGCACACTTTTGATGGACAAAATAAATATGATTTCATCCAAAAAGTGCCCAAAATGCACAGAATTTGCATGTCTGGTGTGTTTTAACAAGAACTGAAGTAGGCTGGCTATGTCAGAAAGAAAATGAAGACACAAAAATATTTATAGAAAATATACCCATTTAAAATTGTTTTTATTATTTCCCAATCGTTTCCCTGCACATGCCCCACTTGTCCTGTTTAGCTTGGCTCGACATGTGTCAGATGAGAGAAGAACTGTTTGAGAAATATAACTTGCCATTGATGTACAAGTGATTGCAATAGGCCTGTGTGTGTGTGTGAGAGAGAAATATCGTTATACTGCAAGGCACTATTTATTTTATTTTTATTTGTTATTTATATATTATTTTATTGTCATTACCTGTTTTCATACAGAAGTTTAGTTTGCTAAATATCAAATTGTTTTAGTTTGATATTGGATGTGAAAAGGAAATGGTTCTTCCATAACACTGCACTTTAGATGTGTGTGAATTTCCCACACCAGGAGTAATTTATATAGTTCTATTTTATAGCGATTATCTGTTAAAAAAAAAAATTCTATCCAAAATGTTCTATTAAAGAGAAGATAGAAAATAAATATTTGTGTGTGCTGTAAAGTGGTTTGAAAAAATGAAATCGGAATCGGCTAAAATCGGTATCGGCAGGTCAAACTCAAGGAAAAATCGGAATCGGGATCGGCCTAGAAAATTAATCGGTGCATCTCTATAAGTGACTGATAAACTCTTTGGCATGGAATACACTTCGATATCACCGTTCTTTTAATGTATTTTCAACATCTGAGGTGAATTGTCGCTTTCATAATGGCTGTTCAGAACAAACCATTTTAAGATTATAGAAAACAATTCAGTAGAGCTGCACAATTAATCGCGATCGCGATTTCAGTTCAAACACCCACAGTCCTAAATGACAACGATTCACCTGTGTCTGTTAAACCTTTGACAAACATTCAAATCTGAATCCAGAGAGAGCAGTTATGCTCAGTATGTAGGTATGAAACAGATTCACAAACAGTCTTTTCAACCAAAGTTTTATTATTTCTGTATTACAAATATTAATATTATCACAGAAGTACTTGGGATAAAAGTTTACATTTCGGATATAAACACTGATGTCTACAGTAGCGACGATCAAAATAGAGCATCAACTTTTGAAAGTAACTTGGTGCTTCAAATAACGATTGTATCAATTACATACATTGTTACACCACCAAAAATGTATGTCATTCATTGAATCATTAATTTAAGAGATTCATTAAAAAACGCTGATTCATCCAGTAATGAAACAAGTGAAGTATTTGAGTGTCATTGAATCATTCATTCAAAATGTTTATTAAAATAATTCATTCAGATTAAATAGACTGGCAGCAATTTTGCAACATTTTGCCAGAACCTCTTGTGAAACCTTGTTTTCTTTAGTTGTCTGTTCAGAATTGTGGGAGAATCGTGATCTCTGTTTGAAACTAAAAAAATCGAATCCCCTGTTGCTCATCGCCGATCACTGTCGTGGCTGGTTAGGACAAAAACTTGAATATAACAAATAGAAAAATACCCTTTATTGTGTGTCATGACATGTCTGGTTTATGGCAGGTTTATGACATGGCAGGAAAAAAAGCCAAAACATATTTAAAACAATGTTGTTTCACAATATTATTTGAATTAGGATTGTGGTAAAATTAAAAGTAGAATGACTCATTTTGAGGCCCACTGATAAAATGATGTGCAAAATTGAGATTTTTTTTCCCAGTGAAACTGACATAAGGGTAAATAGTACTTCTGTTCAATCTCAAAATGGGGGTGTTGTCCTTGATACAAGACACCCAAGCCTAATGACCCCAAAGAGCAAAGACAATGAAGACATTAAATGAACCTTGGAATAAGCTCTTGTATAAAAATGCCCTCAGTGTAAAAGTGTTTGTCTGTTTTTTCCGCAGTCGCCTACTAAAGCTGTGTATAATGCAAGACACTGGAACCATCCAGAGCTAGAAGAACTGCTACCCACGCCTCCATCACGATCTCAAGCTCCTCCAGTGAGTATAACACCAAGCACAGGATTCTCCACTGAACACCTCAACTACTACACACACAGGCGTAGTCCACTTTAGAAAGCACTTCTGATACTATTACCACAATGTTTATTGTCACCTTTGTTTGAAATCTCCTACCTCTATGATAGCACTCCACACATTTCTGCTTTGGTTTTCCCTCAGTGTTGAACAGTAATAGCTTCGCACCAGAACCCAGCTGTTAAAGTCAATATGAAATGACATTCACCTTCCACTTTAATTTAGTTTTGTGATGTTTTATGGAGAGACTTGATTTTATTCATCAGGAATTGATTGGATGGAATTTGCAGTAGATTGTGGAGGATAAAAAATGATTTAATTTATTTGAGCCTCATCTGACTGTCACATCGGGTCAAAATTGCATTGTCAAATCGCATGGGAGTGAAAAGTATGAAATATGAATTATAGTGGCATTCATTATAAACAATTATTGTAAACTAGCTCTAAACAAATTTAATTAAATTGAAACTGAAACTACTGGCATATGGAAAATGCAAACAAACTAAAACCAAATAAATAAATAATGACTAATATTCAATTATATAATTATATGTGACTCGCGCAAAATGAGTCGGAATGCACACGTGCTACTTACGAGCTACAAGTGAAAATGTCAATTTTGGTCGAATTTTAGGTTTTCAAAATAAGCTCTCGTCTAGTGATCCCAATGCTCCAAAAAGTAATTAAACATCTAAAATGATCTTTATTTGTACGTTTTCTGAAAGGTATACCTTCCTAAATCTTTCCTTTGTTTTGATAACCCATGAATAATTGGTGTTATTCTCTGCTCACTTCTGAACGACTGGTGCTTCCCCTCAGTACAAGTTTGGTATCGTTGTAAAGCGCAACATTCCAACTTTATGAATATTCATAGCAAAATCTCAATGGCATGACTCTGAACCAATAACATGTGATTTTCAAACTCATGCTGATGTAAACAAAACAATCTTAATCGCACCGACTGACACATCAAAAGCGTGCGCACCTCTCAGCGCTCGATTCCGATATACACATAAACAGACAATGTTAGCGTGAATACTCGCCAAGATTCTCTATCTCTTAAATGAACATTTGGTTAACTGCTGGGTAAAAATTAAATAAAGAAAAAAATGTATTAGATCTGTGCATTACAGTAGGTCTTCATTTATAGGCTCTCTGTCTCAATGTTAATAAAACATTTATGGTATCATGAAAAAAAAAAGTTGAATAAACATTTTTCTTGTAGATATGGGTTTTGACTTGGTGTGTGCCAATGTTCCCTCTAATTTTTTTTTCTTGCTGAGCAAAACTTTTTTCTATTGGGCGGACATTTTTCGCCATCTGAGCAAAAATATTCGGTAACACTTCCTTTTACAGTCCTGTTACCCATGTACTTACTATGTACTTATTATAGTAATTATAATTACTGGGTAATAACTTGGTACTAACCCTGAACCTACCCCTAACCCATGTACTTACCTTATATTAGCCAGTATTTTCTTGGTAAGTACACTGTAAGTACACAAGTACTGTACTGTAAAAGGAAGCGTTACCAAATATTCTTTATACCTGACCTGTACAGCATACGTAGAGAAACAATGGTTTCAACATTGAATGTGCCATTTCTATTTTATTTGACCCTTGATATATCTTATTGGTATTAAATCATATTTTTGAAAAACAAGCAGTTAATTAAGAAGTCACTAAATGAAGCACATTTTAGGTTACCTGATATTTTTTTTACAGTGCTGTTAACTGTACAGTCTTAACCAAGAAATGGTATGAAAAATACCTATGAAAAATCCTTTACCTATGAAAAATAATTTACAAAATCTTCTGCAGGACAGTTCAATTCTTTACAATAATAGTATATAGTATGAAAGAAAACTAAGCTGTTACACTGAGATGGTTTTGGAAAACCATAAAGTGTTTTTGTACAGTCAATTAATTGTGTACAGGAAGCATTAAACCATCAAAGTTAAATGATTGTTTATTGCTTATGATGTATATATTTATATGCCTCTCGTATTGAGCTATTTGGTCTGCACACACGACTCACTGCCAATCACACACGTGCTCACATCGTTCTCTTTCTATGAAACCTGCAAACTGCATTCACCAGTTTTCACTCTATAGCGGTTGACCAGAGCACTGAAATTATTTCTCACTTAAACTACAATCAAATGGATTTCCCCACACATTTCGCGTCAGTCCTCTGCGTGGCATTTTATTCTTTTCTGCGCGGCCGCGGCTTCAGAAGTGAAAATCCGTGATCCGCAGGCTGCACAATATATGAAAAATGTTTAAATCATAATATCATAGCATAGTGCTATCATTTATAAACCTACTCTAAAACGGGTAAATACATCAATGTTTCTAAATATGTAAATTGTTGTTTATCACGATTACAAAATAAGTTTAAACCCACACTCTGAGTTTGCATGTTCTGATGTTCAAGAAATGGCAATGGTTGTGGGATTTCAATCGCAAAGAAGTGGCCAAATATGAAAGATTAAGTGGACGTTTGAATTAAGTGATGTTTGGCAATAATTAAACAAGAAACAACAACAATCACCAGGCCGTTGGCACACACTTCGGGCATTTGTTATAATACCTTATGTACATGAATATATTTTTTTTATATTATGTATATTACATTATGTATTTTAACAGTGTTGTTCAATAAAACCATATAATTACTTGCTTTTGATACTTCCTTTGAACCAATTATTGTTGCCTCATTGTTATTATTATTTTAAACTATGTATTTTAAGTAATTTTAAAGCCTATTGTTCACTTAGGTCTATTTTTGTTACCACAAAAAAAGAATAATCGTCGATTACCAAAATAATTGTTAGGGATAGCCCGAGTCTTTAGGCATGTTTGGGCTGTGTTCACATTGCAATTACAGTTGTCAGCGTGTTTCTATATTTCAGCTCTTTTTTTAACATTAAATAGTAGACTGGTGAAGTATTTTCCGAGGTGAAGCAAGTTATTACATTTTAATGAATGATTCCGAAACGAGCATTTTTTCTTTAATAACCGAGTCTGTTGAATCATTCACATTAAAACCAGAAATGTGTATTAAAGCAAATGGGGTGAATTTTTATTTGGTGCTTTGTGCAAACACTCCCCCCATTATGCACTTGTCATTCTACTAACAACCTCTTCCTCGCTCTCTACATTTGCCATCTAAACACAATCAATCCCACACAATTTAGGCAGCCTGCATCTGCTGCCACCAGTGAAGCCCACTGTAATATTAAGCACACTGACAGATATGCTTCCGCTTCACTTGAACTGTTTGTAAGCATTCTCATTAGCTCAGCACCTCCGTTTGTACTGTTCCTATGAACAAGTTTTCAAAACATTGCATTATTCATTCAAGGATGTGGCGCTTGGCCATCTTAGAAGCGTTTTATTTAGCAGCGTTGCTGTTGGTTGTGGATTTGGCCTTTTAGCCATTGCTGCATGAGGAATTTATAATGTTCTGTAGCCCATCTTTAGTCATCATGTTACATAACCAGCAGTGGGTTGGTTGTTGGCAGCTCATGGTGTATGTGAATCTACTCTGCCAGTGCTTCCAAACATGTTATGCTTTAATTCTGAGTCGTTCTTGCACAGGCTGTTTCATCAGGAGGCAGTAAAGAGTCGAACTCAAACAAGGACGACGGAGTGTTCAAAGCTCCAGCCCCTCCTCCCAAAGTCACCAAGTCCACCACCATCCCCACAGAACCTTACCAGGACATGGTCACTGCACTCAAATGTAGGAAAGAACACAAAGAGGTGAGTGCAAACACTTGACGCCAGGGCTGCACGATTAATCTAATTTTGATCACGATTTTGGCTACCCACGATCAAATTCGCGTGATCGAGCGATATTTAAAATGCGTCATTCCGGTCGCAAAGTTTCTTAAGCGTCAAATAACAATGACTCTGAATTTTATCCATTTATCGAACTTGCATAGTGCATAGTTCTGCCTTGAAATGTTCTCATTTGGTAACATTGATTATTTATTGTATATTTGGAGTTTTATTCACATCCATTATGCAGGTACAATGCAAGTTTATATTTTGCTTCCTAAAATATATTTACACAATGTAAAATGTAAAATAGTGCCCTGTTGAAGTTTTGCTACTTTTTCTTTGTTTTCTTTATTCTTTAAGGAGATGCACTGAATTTTGGTGAATTAGAGGACCTATTTTATTTTGATGCACATATTTGTACATTAGCAGGAATGTAGCACAATATGGATGTGAAAGCAGTTATAATTAGCCAATGTGACACAATTTTTTTGGTTAAAATCAACAAATAATCATGATAATTAATTGTGATCTCAATATTGATCAAAATAATCGTGATTATCATTTTGGCCATAATCGTGCAGCCCTACTTGACACCCTCTTCTGATTTTATACAATGTAAAAACTCGCTGCATAGCTTCAAATCACGTGCATATTGCCTACTACTTTTTCAAAATAGCATGCAACACTATGCAGTAATAAACATTTTAGATGTATGTATGTTGTCTCGTCCACATTATGTTGCATGTTTAATTCAACAAGTGACATCCAATTTTTGTCTTGAAAAAAAGAAAGAAAGTGGTTTGCATGTTTAAACCAGTTAAATATTATTTTTATGTTTTTACAAAATATTTGAACTTTTAGCATGAGTCTTGAAAGATGTTAAAATCATGGCTGCTAATACAATGTGTAATTTTTCTCACTGGAAAATCCCACAGGCTTTTGTAAGACTATGGGGGTGGGGTGTTAACCTCGGTCCCTCAATGGGGGTTATAGATCCTCCATAACAAAATATAATACATTTTAAATTTACACGCATCAATCTGGTGCACTTTGAAAAGAAAAAGTCTTATATATATATATATATATATATATATACACACACACACATACATACACATACTTAATAAATTACATTACTTTTCTTCACAAAAAATTTGGAAATTGTGAAAATGCATAACTGGTGCCTGTTGCGTTCCCAAATACATGGTAAATTCATATCACATGCAGAAATTAAGTTAACTGCATTAATTTACTGCTTGCATGATCGGCCCGTGGGCAGTCCACAAAGTGCACACGTCACTATGAAACAAACAGACTTAATTAAGTCACAGCCTTTTGCGACTTGATAAGGGGATTAAGCATGTCAATATTTGTTCATTTGACAGATACCTTGCCAAAGCAATGATGCAAAACACAATGTTAAATACCTTAATTTGTTATTATCGGAGGTTTAAATATGCTTTGTTCATTATTAAACTTTGGCGGGACAGATTAGACTGTTAGTCTAGTTAATGAATGGGGAACACTGTGATACTTGCCCTGTACTGTAAACTATAGGGGCTTTCGCACCGGAGGAACATTTGTCATAGTTCCTAGAACTATTGGCGGAAGTTCCCGGTTTTCTGCGTGTTCGCACCTCAGGAACTAGGAATGATTTTTGTTTTAGGAACGCCTTTTGGAGGAACTAATTTAACTCCTACTTCAGAGTAGGGTCTAAACCAGCACTTTAGGAACTATCCGTGTACGAACATGAAACAGTGATAGATGAGCCTCTTAACCTTTACGCTAAGGAGAAAATCCAACGCATCTTTGAGGGGACCAAGTCAAACATGATTGTTTCTGCTCAGCTAGCAACACTGGACATCATCCAAACGGCAAACGCTACTAACTTTTCATTCCTATCTACTTTCTATGTTTAATAGATCTATCTAATAACGTATTAGACAGGACTGTTAGACAAATCGTAAACTAATGAACACGGAGAATGTGAGCACTGTATGCTCAGGGTCTGGCTCAGCACTGTCAAAATAAAGGTCCGCCGCGCTGTCAAAATAAAAGCCACAATAACAAGCGTGGCTTACGTCACTTCAGAGTTGTTATACCCTGTTATAAATGTTTCTCATCAAAAAGCTGTGATGTGTGTGAAAAGCATGAAATGTTGTAACCTGTCCTCAAAAATGTTTGAAATTATGTGAAAATAAAACCAAAGTAATTGGTGCTCATTGCATTCCTAATTAGTTTGCTGCATTTACTGTAAACCAAGCTTATCTGAGATGCTGAAAATGAGTACTGGAACTGAAATATACAAAATCAATATGTATATCAAAATCTATATTTTGACAACACAAATCCAGATAGTTCATGCACAATGCCACCAATAAGATGGTGCAACTGGACCTTTTGTCCCGGGCCTGGGCTTGATTTAGACCGGAAACATCTTTGAAACACTCGCGTGCGTGTTATACTGAAAAAATAAAAAGCTGATTCTTTATTACTGTAGGTATTGGCTTAACTACTGCGTTAAGACATTTATAATCCTCTAGACATTTGAACATTTGGCAACTTAATACTGAAGGCCCAAGCAGGAGCCAATTCAATTTGAAATTCAGTGGCATGGAACCAATGATGAAGGCATAAAGCTCTATCTTGAGTATGCATACAAAGTAGTGCAGCTGTTTTAATAAAACATAAATACCTATTGATGGGATCCAGAAAGCACTGATGTTCTGTAGAGTAATTCTTATTTTTGGTGTTAAACAGTTAGAAAGTTGTGCAAGCCCACCTACGTTACAACCCTCACCCCTTACTCTGCCCACTCACTGAATGAATGGTTTGGTTTTCATCTAAGCTAAAAGTTGTAAGCTGTTCGGATTGTTCTACATTTAGGCAGTTTTCAGGCCCCAAACAGGTATAACAAATAAGACGGTGCTTTTGTTTGTTATAACTCTGATTTGGGGTCTTTCTATTAGCTTGTAGGTCTACATTATCAGCTAATAATGAAGCGTAACATGCAATATTTTGCTGGCCTTGGGAAATTACATTCCTTTGCATGGGCCCTGTGGAACGAATCTTCATCTGCTACAGACAACTGCCTTTTAAATAATTTATTATTTTTAATATGACAGTAATTGGAGTAGCTAGTGTTGTCATGATACCAACATTTCTGTAGTCTGTACCAATACCATTAAAATTGGTTCTCAAATATTGAAAATGTTGTTTGAATAGTAGTAAGTAATAAAATGAAGAACAAAGAAAACACATTAGATGTAATAGAATAAACGGTTTGTCTATTAGTTTGTATTTACACTTCAAGACCTAATGTACTGTGTGTAAATAGTGTAAATTAACTGATGACATTAAACAAATTGTTACGATTGGATCATTTTTGTAGTATGAATGTTGGGATGATATAAATTTTGTATCATTATTGACACACTTAGAGTGATAAAGAAACATGCATTAATAAAAAAATGTGATGCTAAAAAGAGTTCTACAGAAACAGAAAGCCCCCTCTCTGACAGCACGCAATTCCGAATTCAGTTTTCTTTTGCGGCTTATTGGCCTTGGATGGTCAAATACAATCACAGTCATTTCAAAATACAGTGTTGGTGCTTCAGTGACTACTTCGCTCAGAGAACCTGTCACTTTTCAGGGCTTGTGCGGCACGCTTGGTATCAGTATTAGATCCAAGCATTAGGTCTTAAAGAGACGCCAGCCTAATAAACCTGCTGCCATCTATATCATTAATTTTAATTAAACAACAAAAGACAAAGACAATCACTCACTGCTCTTTGAGTGAATAACTTTGATATATTTAATAAGAATCAATTTATATGCATTCATACAGTGAAGACAATGCAATGTTTTGGTTTTTTCATTTCATTATTCAATTTCTGTTGAATGTTAAATACATCTATTGTACCTGAACAACATGTATCATTGTTGTATTGCATTTGTCCTATCGTTTGTAATTTGCTTCCTTGTTGTTATTTTTATTAACTAAAATAAAATAAGTTATATATCGTTATCATTAAAATAAAAAATCATATTGTGAAATAAGATTTTGGTCATATCATCCACCCCTAGTTTATATGAATGAGGTGTTTGAGTCAGCGAGAGGCTTTATGTATTTATATACCTATATACCTCAGAAAAGCAAAACCCATCATCAGAGAATGTTTCTGTCAGTAATTCTGTTGATGAGATTAACACTAGAGGTCGACCGATAGAGGATTTTACCGATGTTTAGGTTTGACCATACATGCCGATAACCGATTATTCAACCGATATTTTTTAAATGGATACTGGATTAAAAACAAACATAACACTCCAAGTAAAACAGTGCTGAACTGAAATGTGCTAAATTAAATAAATATATAAAAATTAATATATTAAAATGAGAATTTCTACAGAATGAACTCTACAGAAAATAATTTAAACATTAAAATATTACTGGTCAAATAAGTTTTTTTTTTTTTTCTATAACCTAGAAACATTCGTAAATTTCATAGGTAACACTTTGCAAGTCCCATTTGTTAACAAGGATTTAATATAGCTTTCATGAACTATGCATTATACAATATACAGTTTTACTGCATGCATTAATATTTGAGCATTACAATTGTATCTTGATCGTTCATGTTAGTTTATAGTACATTAACTAAGGTAATAACAGATCAAATTAAAATTAAAACTCAATTTAAAATGTATTACTAAATGTTGAAATTAACAAACAGTGAATAATACTTCTACAACACTGATTAACCTTAGTTAATGCTAAAAATGGAATCTTATTGTAAAGTGTTATTCATATAATCTTATTGTAAAGTCTTATTGTAAAGTGTTATTCATTTCATATAAATCCAAAGAGTCATGCTTAAAGATGGCCATGTTTAAATAACTGCAAAGGCCATAGCATTAAAATTACATAAATGTAGACCTATATTAGATGTAGTCTCTCACTTTATTTGCTTCTCTTTTAGAACACTTGATGATTATCTAATCAAAATAACTATATGTATTGAAGTGATAAAAAAAAAAAAACTGAAATCGAATGCGTTTCTGATTTGTTTGTTTTTGTCGGCTGCATGAACATATCAATGTTGAGAAAGCAATCATGTCACTAGCTTTAAATATGCAACTTCTCCGGCTAATGAATGCATAAAAGTGACCAGCCGGATATAAACTAATGGAAATAGATGGTAACAATTGCGACATAAAACATTTGGGTCAGGTCTGCGTGTGTTTTTGTCACATTGCTTTAATCGCTTGAGGTAGCTGTTACTAATGTTATTTGCTTACATGCTTTCTATTTCTATACAGTTGTACACCGTTGTCCAGCATGTGAAGCACTTCAATGATGTGGTAGAGTTTGGCGAGAATCAGGAGTTCACCGATGACTTTGAGTATCTTGCCACTGGTCTGAAGACTGGTCAACCCCTTAACACACGCTGCCTTAGGTGCAGAAATCATTTCTCACTGTATATTCTGACCATTATCCAATATTTAAGCTATGACCTAATGTTTGTTCATTACAATCCTTGTGCAGTGTTATTAGTTTGGCCACGAGATGCGCCATGCCCAGTTTCAGGATGCACCTGAGGGCTCGTGGGAAAGTGGCTCAGGTCTTTAAAACTCTCAGTGATGCACCTCAACATTCAGTAAGTCCAGACTTTTGACTCCCCTAAAATTTGTACTGGCTGATGTCTTACATTTAATCTGTTCTACTTTGCTGTCCTTGTCCCTTCCTCAGAATCTAGCTTTGTGTACGGCCTCTCTTATGTACATTCTCAGCCGAGACCGCTTGAATATGGACCTGGATCGGGCCAGTTTGGATCTAATGATTCGTTTACTGGAATTAGAACTGGACAAATCCATTGCTGATCAGTTGACGACAAAAGAGATGAACAAAGTGAAAGAAAAGATTCGCAAACTCTGCGAAACCGTCCACAATAAGCATCTCGACTTGGAGAATATCACGGTGAGCTTGAGATCAGCTTGTGCTTGTTTATTAGGCGATGTTCTTTCAGCAGTGCTGTAGTTCTGTTTGTTTCCATTTGCAAACTTTTTATTATTCTGCGTTTGTGATAGACCATGCGGATGAGAGATTGTGTTCATTTGGAGTTTTCAGAAAGGTTCAGTTTCTGCTTCTAGTGGATGCACTTCATAGCTTGGATTGTGCATTCTAGGAGGGATGTTTTCAAAATCTATTATTTGGTGGATTGTCTCTGTCTTAACTCTAATCTCTGTGTTAAAGGAATAGTTCACTCCAAAATTACTAATATTATTTAAAAGAAAATTGGACTCTTTATCGACTTTCTTGGAGAAGCTTTAGCATGCTGTTGCGGTGTAGATTTTGTAAGCGGTCAGAAAAGTAATCAGAAAGAAATAGAATTCAAGGATTTTAAAAGTTGAGTTGTACTTTACATGTTGTTTTGGAAAATGCTGATGTTGAAAGAAACAGAGACATGACTCACTTGTCAAAGACATCCGTCTGGAGCATGTGCACATAGGCCAGCAATTAAAAATACACAAACTGAACACAACAGATCCTGTGTGAACGCCTACTTGGACTGTTTTCACACTAAAGCACCATGATTAAACCCTCTACAAGATGTTGTCTCTCTAAATTCATACATTAATTCAAAACACCCTTTACTAAAGTATTATATTTACTTGTTTTAATGTTTTTGCTTGAGCCATAAGACTGACTAATATTATCAAGTCGTGTTTCTTTGCATTTCACGCCCTCCATTTACATTTGTTTTAATGTTCTGTTCAGCAAATAGAACTTCACATTTGCATAATGGAGTCATTATAGCTGAATGTATTTTTTATAATATCTCTCAGACTGATTGTGCATTGTCTTTTTCTCGGCAGACGGGACATTTAGCCATGGAGACGTTGTTGTCGTTGACGTCAAAGAGAGCGGGGGATTGGTTTAAAGAAGAACTCCGGCTTCTGGGAGGCCTGGACCACATTGTAGATAAAGGTCTTCTGCTTTTACAGTGTATTTGCTGAAGTGACCTGTATAGTATTAATGATCTGTTTAAAATTCATTTAAAATCGAAGATCAGAGAGATGTTAATTTTGTATTAAGTGATGGCCATCCCTTTTGCCTGAGTTTAAGATGCATGCATTTTTTAATAAGATGCTTTTAACCTTGAGTTTATGTGCGTGTGTGTTTCCTTAGTTAAAGAGTGTGTGGAGAACCTGAGCCGAGAGGATGATAAGGAGAACCTTGTGGCGTCATTGTGGGGGGCTGAGAGATGTCTTCGTGTTCTAGAAAGTGTAAGTCTGATACTCATCCGCACTTTTGAGTTGTGATTCTTGGACATTCATTTTTATTGTTTCGTGCAACCAGGTGCAGTATCCACCTTATTTTGCAATGTTGAAGTAAGCTATTTTTTGTGAATGTGTGAGACATTCCATAAGAAATTCCAGTTTGCAATATCAAGCAGCATAATGGATAGTTTTGTACAACTAAAAATAACTGGAAGGGAATGACACCAGAAGCCTCACACATTCAAGTTACAAATGGCCGTGCCCAACCCAGTCATATTTAAAAATAAGGTGGAAGATGTTCCCTGAATAAGTTAGATCAAGTAGATCCAGGCTGTTTCTCCTTGAACCACAAACCCCATTAACATAGATTTCAATTAAAAGTCAAGTACATTAAAGCATTAACAGAATAAAATGATATATGCTGTCACATGGTTTTTACAATAAGACATTTTCCGTGACTTTCCAAAGATGTGGTCTTGTGATCTACACTACAGTTCAAAAGTTTGGGGTTAGTTTTTTGTTTTTGAAATAAATTAATACTTTTATTCAGCAGTCATGCATTAAATTGATCAAAAGTGACAGTAAATGGATTTATAATGTTAAAAAAGTGCTGTTTTTTTTAGTAATGATGCTGAAAATTCAGCTTTGCATCACAGGAATAAATTACATTTTTAAAATGGCTATATTCAAATAGAAAAGTTATTTTAAATTGCAATAGTACTTCAAAATATTGCCTTTTTTTTTTTTTTTTTTTACTACAAATTTGATCAAATATATTCAGCCTTGGTGAACATAAGAGACTTATTGCAAAAACGTTTTTTAAAAAAAATCTTTACCAACCTCAACATTTTTACAATGTTACTTTGACAATTTTAGGGGATTTTGTTTTAAAATGTATACATATTTTGTATATATTCACTTGATACAGGTAACCGTTCACAATCCAGAAAACCAGGCCTACCTGATCGCGTACAAGGACTCTCAGCTCATAGTGTCTTCAGCAAAGTAAGTGCCTCCAAAATAAATGCAGTTGTTAAGCAGTCTAGCTGTGGTTTTACAGTAATGTAGCAGTACTCTTGTCATGTTTTCTGTTTTAGCAGTACTCTGATTGAACTGACTCCTGGTGCTCTTCAGTCAGGCAGGGTGCAGGTTAACCGTGGACTTTGTGCTAGTTTTGCTCATTACAGCAGACAGCCTCCAGACTCATTAACAACCCCAATAGCTACAGGGACACTTTATCAACAGCACCAGCTGCCAAGGCCATAAGCACAGAGCTGCTGTGCCAGAGAACACCCTCTGATACAGCTCAAGCCATGCTGACATTTCTTAAAGAGACCAATCATTTCAAACATTAATACGAGTTGCATACTGTCTCAAGTGTCCAACTTAAGAGCACTTAAAAGGATAGTTAGTCCATAAATGAGTTGTCATTTACTCCCTCATGTCATCCCAAACAATGCATATACACGCTGCATACAATGAAAGTTTACAAATATCAGGAGAGGTCAAGCACTGTAAAGCTAGTTCATCTGGATCTGACATCACACAACTTCATGCTCAATATTAGAATATGAACTGATAGTAGTCAGATTATGATTAAAAAACTGCTGTTCGGTCTATTCCTCATACACAGCTATAGCTTCAGAAGACTTTGGATCTACTTTCACATTTTCTTTACAGTGTAAACCTCTATGGAGTTACATGGCAGCAAATTTGCTTAAACCGCAAAAGAAAAGAAAAATCCATTATTTCTTTCCAAAAGTATTGTATTAGAAACCCAATTGCAGCAGTTAATGGCCAGGGTAATATAATACAAAGTATATTGTACATGTTTACATATAGTGTACGTAATGTACGTTACATTTTATGAAGATATATATTAAAAATATATTTGCCGAATGCGGAATGCTTTATTACATTCTATGAAAAGGGTCATCCTAGCGCATGAGTCACATTAACTACTTTTATGATTATACCTTTCTCCATATGCGTTATGAATTTTTTTTTTTTTTTTTTTTGCTGGCCTTGGGTTCAGAAATCACTATTTTGAATTGATATTTTTATCTCCATTATGCCCAGCATGTAATTGTCACAACACTTTTTGTGCTGCAGACATGAATGATACCTCAAAGTGCTCATACTCTCTAAGCAATCAAAATTCTTGCCTGGAACTGGAAGATGATAAAACGGGTAACAATTTATATAGACTTACATTGAAAGAGGGAAGCAAAGCCATATCTACAGACCATAATGTCAAAGAGATGTGAAGGCTCTTTTGATTTGGGCCAGTAAGAATTTACACGATAGCAAACACCCCAGCAACCAGATAGCAACACACTAAAAACAACTCAAAAAACTGCCATGAAGCAACGCCCTGGCATGCGATTTTTACATGGGCAAGTACCACTCACATTTTCAGATTTCAGTTTGTATATTGAGAGTAAAGCATATTTAAAGGGTTTACCCTCATGTTGTTCCAACCCCGTAGGACTTTCGTTCATTTTCGGAACACAAATTAATATATTTTTTAGTGATATCAGAGCTGTCTCACTCCTTCATAGGCTGCAAGGTAATTGATATCTGCCAGCCCAGAAAAGTTAGTAAAGACATCGTTAAAATAGTCCAAGTCAAGTGACTACAGTGGCTCAAACTTAAGTTTATCAAGCGACGAGAATACTTTTTGTGCAAAAAACCCCCTAAAATAACGACTTTACTCAACCATCTCTTCTCTTCCATGTCATTCTCCTAAGCTGTTGACGTAGAGTAACAGCGCAGCCATCTGGGTTGTACGTCAGAACGTAGGCTCACTATTGGCCGACGTGGTCGTGTGTGATGCTGGCCTATAGTGAGCCTACGTTCTGACGTACAACCCAGAAGCGCTGCGCTGTTACACTACGTGAACTCACTCAGAGGCCCACAGGGAAGAAAATGAATAGTTGTATAAAGTCTTTTTTTTTTATTTTTTTTTTATAAGTATTCTCGTCGCTTGATAAACGTAAGGTTGAGCCACTGTAGTCACTTGGACTATTTTAAAGATGTCTTTACTAACTTTTCTGGGCTGTCAGATATCAATTACCTTGCAGCCTATGAAGGAGTGAGCCAGCTCTCAGATTTCATCAAAAATATCTTAATTTGTGTTCCCGAAGATGAACGAAAGTCTTACGGGGTTGGAACAACATGAGGGTGAGTAATTACTGACAGAATTTTCATTTTTGGGTGAACTAATAATATAATATACCTTTATTTAACCAGAAGAAAACTCGTTGAGATTAAAAATCTCTTTTCCAAGAGTGTCCTGGCCAAGACAGGTAGCAGCACAAATAACAAAGTTGCAGACATAAAAAACATATATATATATAACATATAATAACATAGATAACATATAGCATAAACATAAAACATAGAAGCAAGGATCATCCAAATAATTAATCATAACAACTACAGCCAGGATGTGTAGCCTCTATATCATTTAAAAGTAATTTAAAAGCAGCCAGTGAAACTGGTTCCTGAAGATTTAAGACATTTTGCAGTTGATTCCATGCGCTGGGGGCCGCATACATAAACGACCCTTTTCCCATTTCAGTCCGGACATGAGGGATGGACAACAACAATAAGTCCTCAGAACGAAGACAATATTGTCCTGTGCCTTTCTTTTTAATATACGATTGAAGGTATGGGGGAAGCAGACCAAGAATACCTTTATAAATAAGAATATGCCAGTGATTATGCCTACGGGTGGACAATGCCGACCAACCAACACGATCATACAGAGAGCAATGATGGGTAAGTGCTCTAAAGTTTGTGATGAACCTAAGGGCTCCATGGTAAACAGTATCCAACAATTTCAAGCATTGAATGGATGCATGCATGTATATAACATCACCGTAGTCCAGCACTGACATGAAAGTGGCAGCAACAAGCCTTCTTTTTGCCTCAAAGGAGAAACATGACTTGTTTCTAAAATAAAAACCCAGTCTTAACTTCAGTTTTTTCACCAACTGCTGGATGTGAGGTTTAAAAGAGAGAGAATCATCAATTAGAATACCAAGGTATTTGTATTGGGATACAGTCTCAATCTCGAAGCCCTGAGAAGTCGTAATGGATGGAAGGTTTTGTAGCTTAGATTTCGCATTGGAAAACATAAGTTGTTTTCAACATAACTAACCCTTTAAGCATCTCTTATGGTAAATCTAGCTCATACTTGTCTGCTTGAGGCAGTCTGGCCTCTCTTCCACTGCTAATGTAATTATGAGCTGATGGCCCAGCTCTCTAGATGAGGTCAGACCCTTCAAAGAGTGCAAAGCGAACTAAACACGGGTGCTCAGGACTATGAAGAGGATCTGGATGAGTCAACAAAGTCTGCTCACACACACACACACACACACTTTTGGAAGAGCTCGTTCAGCTGGCTCTAATTCAATTAAGAGAGTACGGCAGGCCTGCATTAATAATGATCCCACTAATATATGAGTACATGAACCTCTACCTCCATTTCCCATCTCGCTCGCTAATGACCTCACATTATGCTAAGCGCATTAGTGGGATTTTGCACGAAGCTGGTCATACTGTAACACTTGTGCTTTGGTTGCTGACTGCCTCTCTGTTGCTATCACACACACACACACACACACACACACACACACACACACACACACACACACACACACACACACACACACACACACACACACACACCTTGGGGGCTAATAGAGAGAAAGAGCTAAGTTTCCCCCCTCTAGAGAAAGCTAGTGCAGCTTGTGTTAGTGTCTGCTGACCTTGGCTGTGGTGTAAATGTGATCCATTAGGATGCTGCAGGCTGTTTTTCCATCTCGAGTGTTACTCTGAATGGCCATTATTTGAATGCTGATGGAGCACTTGTAGGACCAGATTTAGAGTTAGAGTTAAAATGTTCTAATGTGATGTCACTTTGTACATTAAGAGGCTTTTGATGCACTGTGAAAGACTGTAAATTATGATTTCATTTATCAAGAGCAGTTATTTTTGTCCTTAAAGTAAAATATGAAGTTTGCTAGGGTCCTTAAATTAGTTTCTTAGCTGTTTTTTTGCTGCAGGACACAGATTTTGTCCTTCACAGAGCCAGGTTTTAAAGGGGCCATGAAACTCCCTGTTTCAGCTCTAGTTAGTTCTCACCACAGTTTTGAAAAATGCTACAAAAGTGGTCGTGGAAAGCTGCGGAGTGGTGTGTCAAGAGGGGAGACAGACAACAGAACAACGTCTTCTGATTCAGACGGTTTTATTTCGCTCTCATTGAGTTAAAAGCGTCAAAGGCTCCGACAAATGCATGCGGCAATTAACAATTACATACAACAAAATCAACACAAATATTATACATGGTACATATATCCTTTGACTGCTTTAATTTAAATCAAAAGTACACAAATGAACGTGCTATTGCATTTTTAATAACTTTTGAGACACAAATGAGTTATTTTTCAATTTTAATTTGTTTTATGTTATTTTATTCAAGCCGTCATCATGTTAAGGAGCTCTAAAGTACTTTACACTCAAGGTGCAGATGAATCCAATTTTGGAGACTCTTGGTTAAATGGAAGAATTTGTGCCTTGCAGAAACTCTCAAAGCAAAACACTCACTTGTGACCCATGAATGCATCTCTCACTCTAACTACGTGAGCATCTACGTCTCACAGCATCTGTCATAGGAAAGCATCACGTGCTGTTGTGAATAATCAAGAGAACTGCCATCAGACACACAGTCTTATGAATACTTATGAGACACAGAAGTCATGAATGTACTATAAGTGTTAAAAAATATATCCTGTGACATTCACACAAAGATTTTAAATCCTGAAGACTAATAAATAGTGCAACAATTTACCAGTTTTCTCCTACAATTAAAATCAACAGATGCTAACGTTGTCTTTTATTATGTGCAACACACACACACACACAATGAGTATGTTGCTCTGTTAAAATGCATTGTAGTATTTCATGACCCTGTAAACGCATTGAATGTAGGCATGTTTATGGTTTTTGAGAAAGAGGGTGTGTCATGCAACCAATCCATGTTGGCATGTCTAATTTAACTAACTTCTACCAAATGACAAATTAATTTGTGCCAAAATACCGCAGAGTTTTATTGGATCCACAATTTTTTTTGTTTTATCCTCCATTTTACAGGATAAGGCTCTTTATTTTACTATCCTAGCTATGCACAATTATATGGTTAGCTGCATTTTATTATTTGCATTTATCAGAACAGGTCTGTGACCCACTCGTTGAGAGCCAATACCTTAAATTAATTTGCACAGTGTAATTTTTGGTTCTCTTGTTGTTCTGAACCACATATGACTGACTGACTTTTGTGGAACACAAAAAGAAATATTTTGAAGAATGTTCATGCTGTGCTTCATACACTGAAATTTAATTTAAAAAAAAACACACCATAAAAACTATTTGACGTGCACTACATATACCAAGACTTTAGAAGATATTTAACTTTTGTGTGAGAAAATTAGTGAACTGTCCTTTTAAGATGTTTTTGATTATCAAAACATGACATCTTTGACTTTGTGTTTTTAGGGCCTTATGGCACTGTGAGGAGATGATCCAGAGGTACAGTCGAGAGGTGAACAGAGGCCTGTGCTCGTCGGGCACACCGCTACCCTACTGCAGCAACAGCAATGTGGGGAAAGCCGTAGAAGACTGTATGCGAGCCATCATTGGAGTCCTGTTAAATCTCACACATGATAACGGTAAGTACAAAGACCAGAATGTTTAACAAAACCAATTTTCCAATTTGACTGTGAAGGAATATATTCCAAACTCTAAATGGCAAAGCATACCTGCGTAAGGGTATGCGTACATATGCAATGCAAATTTCGTCCTTACAACAGTATGTGCATACTGAACGCATGCAGCTCGATTTTTCTTACCGCGTCAATGTTGTATGCTTAGATTAGTTGGTCCACAAGGAGGCAATACTGGCCTGTTGTTTTACAGTCGAAAAAGAAACGGAGGTGGAACAAAAATACTTTTAAAGGTAGACGGCTGAGTTGAAGAGCGCTTCTGTGAGGGGGTTGAGATGGCTGCATCTCCAGTTAAAGTAAAACTTCAGGAGAGAAATGGCGCAGACTCTGGACAAAGTTGAAACTTTATTGTGCATGTTTATGCACGTCATCAAATGGAGTATACTTTGAAAGGCTATGAGTTTGACTGCGCATATGCTAGCGTTCAGTTCACGTCAAAATGTAAAGAATACTTTTTGGCTTTAGTCAAGAATTTGGAAGCTTTCCCACAGCAGCTCGATAGCATTGTGCAAATGCGTTTTTGACCGATGAATTTTTTCTTTTACTGCTGTAATGTGTTGTCACTGACAGAGGTTCTCCAGCACACAGATCTAACTAATTAGTAATGAAATACATTATTGGTTACTAGGGGTGGGCGCTATTCCAGTATCAACGTGACTACCGGTATTATGTTGTACCATGATATGGATTTTGCGATACCGAGAATACTGTTAGATATTCATAAATTCAAATTTTTCAGTTACATTGTTTTGTTAAATTTGGTACTCTTTACAGCTCTTAACACTAGGCCTACTAATGACGATACAAAATCGAGGCTGAACTGAACGTTTAACCTTTTTCTCTGTGTCCAACTCGCGTAATGCACATGCATTAATAATCAAACACAGAGAGCATGGAAACAGTCCAGTGTTTCCCACACAGACTAATTCGTTGCGGGTGCACCACAGAATCAACACCGGTCGCTACATAATGCGTTTCGTTATTCATTTATTTTTTTACGCTATTAAAAACACGCAGTGTATTCGTTCCGTCTCTCTGTCTCTGTCACTCACGCGTCTCTCGCGCACACACACACACAGCGTCTGTCTATGAGGCGCCGGATTGGACAAAAGCGAAGCGAACTCCGCGAGCGACAGAGAGTGTGTCTGAGCATTAGTAAATTGATACATAGTAATATATAATTATTATATAAGAGGTATATGAATTAACAGGATGTAGCCTACTTCTCTCTTTTGGTCAGTATACAAAAACTTCTCGGTTAACATAATGTTGTCTTAAATTAAGCCTAAGTGTCAATCCTCTCTGAAATCACACTATTTCATTTTTAATGATTATAATGTATTCAATAAACCAAACTCCAGTGTTTCTCATATTACGAAATTAACGAAGGAATTATTTTGACTCCCGCAAAATAAAAAGTGGAAAGAGATAGCAAGTGAATTCAGGCCTACCTCATGTTGCACGTTTGCACTTTTTGAGAAAAACAATGGCACAATAAAAAAAGATTTTTCAGGTCTATGTCTAATTAAATCCCTCACCTTTTTCTAGTTATATGGTTAAAATACATATTTTGCCTATAATTTAACTAAGGTGTACTAAAATGTGATTCCAATTTTTTTTCTTTTTTTCTCATATTGCAATATAATATCGATATCGTCCGGACAGTGAAAAATATCGTTATTTGAATTTTTGCTCATATCGCCCACCCCTATCAATTAGTCATTACAGGCTTATGTTGCTGCTTTTAGTTAGTTACTCCCTAACTGTAATATGTGCTGGAAGCTGAACAATCAGGCAACTGGGCTGCAGTAACTGTCTCATTACATTATGCCTAATAGAACGTTTGTTATTCTGCTTTTGAAAGGCTTAAAGTCAATAAGAGTCTTTTGGCTTCCTTGCATGGCTTTTGTTCGATGTCCCAAATGGATTTATGTTAGCAGTGCTGCTTTGGCTAGCTGCTCTCTAGTATTGCTGCCAAACCCTTTAGCATAATGCAGGAGTACCCGGTCATAAGCCAAATGTGAGCAGCTTGGAGAACAACAGTCAGAGAAAATCCCTGATTAACTAACTTTGAACTCGTATATGCAGCAGCCATTGAGTGCGTTTTCTATCTGTCTGTAGAATGGGGCAGCACAAAGACAGGGGAGCAGGAGGAGTTAATCATCACAGCGCTGAACTGTGTGCTCAGGGTCCCACAGTACCTGCCGCAGGAGCAGAGGTTCGATATCAGAGTCCTGGTGAGTACACAGCTCTACTAATATCAGTCAGTGTCAGTATACATTCAGTGAGGATCAGCAGTGTCCACTAGTTCCAGAGTGCTTTCAAATGTTACAATTGAAAAATCCATACTGTGGTCAGATTGGTAATAAAGGCTATGTGCTGGTTCAGATATATACAATGCTTATTTGTGAGGATTATGCTGGTAATTATAAAACCCTTGGCTCAACCAAAAAAAAAAAAAAACCTTATGCATAATTTTCTTTTTGTCATGGCAACTTCAAATGAGATTGTTCAACCAACAAAATATATTGAGTTAGAGGAACTTCATAATTTGTAACAAACTAATTTAAGTTGATTACTAAAAAAAAAGTCGCTCCAACTACACGAGTTGTAGCCCTGGAACCAGTTCATCTTATCTATTTCAGTTACAATCCACACCTATCATAGCACATGCTTAGTGTAACTTATTTAGCATGTACTGTAGATTTAATGAACAAATAAGATAATACTTGTCACTGGCATTATCACATGTATTGCTGTAATGTAGTGTTTACCTTCATTTAGTCTTCTCAGTTGTAAGTAACCACAACAAAAAATGTCAAACGTAACCGCATTAAACACTAACAGGTCTTTCTCTTCTATAAAAAAACAGTACAGTAAGTTCAACATTTAATGCTCCTTATCCAGTCCCATGCAAAGCATCCTGGGAACTAGAAATCCACTCTATGCAGTTTCCCTAACCCAAGTTATCAAGACAATTTCATTGTTACTACAACTTTCTTTTCTTTTTTTTTTCTTTCTCAATTATAGCAGAAATCTGAGTTTATATTAGACACAATATTAGGTTAATTTAATGATCAACATTGTCAACAGAACGCAACAATTTTTTTTGCAACTTTTAACTAAATCAATTATAATTTTTAATTTGCAGTCATGCATTTATTTAAGTTGTGGTAACAGGTCCCCTGAATTCTTAGTGTGGTTATTATTGTTCATTGATTGTAATGCGTTAATACACTCCTTCCATAAGGAACAAATTAATTTGTTACTTAAACTGCTAGGCAGATACTTTTTTTGTGAACATTAAGTTATAATGCAAATAAATCACTGATTAATTTGTTTTCCAAGTTTTGTTAAATTACTTGTTACTTAAAATAGCAACAAACTTAGGAAACTAATTAATTGGCAAAGATTGAGCATTTTAGTGCAACATATATATGTTCATAATCTTTGCTGTTTATTACTATGCATTGTTCTATTTATTGCAGGTCTGGATCGATTACAATTTTTAAATAATCAAATTTCTGTGGTTAACTACAGTTTATTGCATTTAACATTTAACGTTTGTAATCATAAATATATTTACACATTGAATCCCCATATTAACTTTGAGTGCATTTAAAATAATATTTGTAAAATGGATTTTTTTTAACTAAGTACTACCAAGGCTATATTTTGTCAATACGAATACAATAAATGGTATATATTTTTTAAATAATTTAAACATGTAAAAAATAATGTTTAATAAAATGTTTATATTTGCCCAACCCTATCTTTTATGCATTTGTGCAAACCAGTTGTGTGTGACATTACTGTTAAAGTGAAACCAGGTTTTGTGTTTGTTTCATTGTGTGTGTGTGTAGGGTCTGGGCTTGCTCATTAATCTGGTGGAGTACAGCGCAAGGAACAGACACTGTCTAGTGGAGCTGCAGATGGAGGGAAGTGATGTCTGGGACTCCATGTGTGTGTCTGACAAAGAGGAGTTGCAGACTGAGAGATCTCTCGGTGCCATTGCTGCTTTGGTGAAGGTATAAACACACAGACATACAGAAAAACGAATGATTTATGCTGGAATTTTCATTAATGCATGTGTGGATTAATAGAAATGTAAAGATGTAATAGTATAGCATTACTAATTTCAGTTATTTTAAATCTTTTGAAACTGTTTACCATTTTTTTTTGCCCATCACTAATTGGTTCACTAACGAAACATCAGTAATTATTTTTCCTCTGTTTCTGCATGACTAGCTTTTCCTTCAGAGAGAGCATGCGGCCATTTTGGCAGAGGCGGAGACAGATGACTTCATCAACGATGCGCCAAAGCCCCAATTGGATCAGAGCGGAGAATGGAAAGAAACCAATGAAGAGATTCAGTGGGTGGCTTCAGAGAACAACAACCAAGGACAACAGGACAAGAAGAAAGAGGAGGAGGATGAGGAACTTGATCTCAACAAAGGTAGACACTCACTATAACTTGAGACTAGCCAAATGCAGTTTTTCTTTTTGCCATGGCAGGCAAATGTACAACTTGTAACGAGTGGAAATAAGGTGTGGCCCCTTTAAGAGCTGTGCGCTCCCTGTTGAACTGTCGGCAGTATTGTATGTGCCTTGGGCCTCGAACACCCCTTTTACTGTCTATGCGAACACCCTATGTATGTAGGTAATTTCTGTTTGATGCTAATTTTTATCTTATTTTGTTTATTAAGTAACGATGTGGACGGTAGAACGTGTGACAGACAGTTAGGCTACACGAGTTCGATTTGGGAATAAAGTGCGTCTGTGTGTCTGTCTGGCCTCTGCATGCAATAACTTCAGTTGTGAGCTATCCCTAATCTTCCTGAAGCAACGCGTTACAAACTGTACTAGGCCTACAGTTTCATTGCGGGGACACCACCTTCACCTGCCGTCATGTCTGCCATCATGTCTCGCTTTCGGGTTAAACTTTCCGCGACTGCGCAACTGGGTTATAGGTTGCCAGGTTGAGGTGACAAATGGGTTGAAATTGTAAATGGTCTGTGGATTGTGTGAATATAGTGCATTTAATACAATCTGGCAACTGGTCAACATCAGACAAACATATTGGTCCGATTATTCATAAAGGAGTTTGGGCCATGCAAATTACGGGAGTTTCCCGGGAAAAATAACAAACCAGGGGGGGGTCCGGGAGATAGGGCTAAAAACGGGAGAAACCCGGGGAAAACGGGAGTGTTGACAGGTATGGGTTAATAACACATGGGTACCGAGTTGACTGTTCTCTGGGATGTTTTCATGCTAATCGAATGTACCCAGTTTTAGCTCGAACCACTGATTAGCTTATAACGCTAGTATATAGGGCATAGAGTAAGTAAAAAGAAATCGCCAGTTAATACCACTAACATGGCTCAAAATAGCTCCACACTAACACAGTAGCATAATGAGGGTCCCTACATGCAAACCGAAGCATTGAGAACTTTGTATGTGTACACTGAGCACATTAGAGAAGCACTGAACGCAACAGAGAAAATAAATAAATAAAAATAAGTTTAAAAAACTGAACGCAACAGAGACTAGTGCTTCCACAGGATACACACTGAAGAGATGGCGGATTATTCAACCGACGAATATGAATGAATGAATGAATGAATGAAAATGCTTGAGCTATGTTTTTGGTAGAAATATTGAAAGTATAGGGCCCCTTCCCTTGTAGTTAGTCACCCATATATTTTAATAAACAGTTATAATTCATGCATTTCCATGTAATTAGATTTCACAAACGTAATTCCGATCGACCAGCTCACTTAGCACGGCTTTCGTGGTTCGACTGGTCGAGACTGTTTTCCAAAGATGGCTCCTGCCTGTATACGCGAAGTGTATTGTCTTTATAAAGTATCTTCTTATTAAACTGTCTGTACACTTACAAAGTTCTCAATGCTTCGGTTTGCAGGTAGGGACCCTCATCTTGCTACCGTGTTAGTGTGGAGCAATTTTGAACCTTGTTAGTGGTATTAACTAGCGATTTCTTTTTACTTATTCTATGCCCTATATACTAGCGTTATAGGCTATTCAGTAGGGGTGTAACGATACACAAAATTGACGGTTCGGTTTTCCCACGGTTTTGACGTCTCGGTTCGATTCGGTTCGGTTTAGAAAGCTAAAATTGCTTCTTTTTTTTCCTTTTCTTTTTTAAACAGTGGTTTAACGAAAAAATTGTCTTTGTCTTTAAATGAATTCAATTACAATTAAACGTTTCACAAGGATTAAAAAGAAATCTGCTAAATCTGTAAACTATATAGGGAGCCGCACATTAACATTAAAGGTTGTAGCCTAGACTTTTAACCTAAATTCAGATGCTATTTATTTTTTAGATATAATAATCAACACACAACACATTGTATGAAAACATGTAAACTGAACATAAGGCAGTTTTTGCATTAACTTGTGTTTTACTCTAATTTGTTATTGAAATATAATACTTTACACAGTTGTCATTTTCATGAAAGATATTTTAAACATACATTAAATAATCAAGATATCATTAACAGGTTAAGTAAAATTAAAAAAAGTAAAAAAGGCTAACATGGTGCATTTATTTAGTGCAAGAGTTCATTTATAGGAACCATTTATAGGAAGTTGTGGACACTGAATCACTTGCCTGTTGAGGTAAATATAATGCTAGTGACAAGCTATGCTGTTTTATTGACGTTTCCGCTGCTGAAACACTGATTGAGCGATTACACGAGTTATGATGCCTTTCAGTAAGTATACTGCATCTTTCAACATACCTTCAGGTGTCCATTCCGTAACTGAGGAAGAGATTATCGCGTTTACCCGCGCGCCGCGTTGCCGTTTGAAATGAGGAGCTTAGTAGGCATAGAGCGATCTGTCACGCCACATCAAAGAGCGCCAAAACGCCATTTATTGTTTGAATTTCGTATCAAATAGACAAATTTGAAAGATTACACCTTGCTTATTATCGAAAGTAACAAAACACGGAGCTTGTTATTTGGTGTTAATGGTGGTTAGCTACAAAACTGAATTCGTTGTGTACTGTACACAAGACATGAGGTCCATTGAGCCGGGCTGGGCGGGGCCGGGGTAGCAGGGGGCGCGGAGGGGCGTGTTCGGTACGCAATGAGAGTATCGCGATTCGAATCGTGTGTTCTGTATCGCGGTTTTTCGGTTCGGTTCGAATATCGTTACACCCCTACTATTCAGTGGTTCAAGCTAAACCTGGGTACATTCGATTAGCATGAAAACATCCCAGAGAACAGTCGACTTGGTACCCATGTGTTATTAACCCCTAGATTAATTTAGGACTGGGCGATATGGCCAAAAAAAATTATCACGATAATTTTTTTATATCAGTCGATATCGATAATTATCACGATAAACGTCAAATCTTTATTTCTTTCAAGTTTAAAGGCAGATTTTTGCTGTAGAAACCAGAGAGTTAATTGGGGTTTTAAACTACTCTTTATTGTCAGAACATATCATGACAAACACTTGCCAAACACGAGAACATTTGCCAAATCTGAGTTAGAACATTCAAACGTGTCATTTTTCCTTAACAAAATAAATATCTTAATAGAAAAAAAATATTTCTTAGTTTCTGCATGTGCTAATTTTTATTTGGTAAAATGTAATATTCTGACTGTTTGAGTTTTATTAAAATTAACCATTGGTCATCCAGCATCATGCATTTAGATCATGATAAACCGTAAACACAGATAAAACCGGGCATAGCCTATAGCACCTCACTATCATGGCAATGTTACTTTATGGTTTCTATGGTATTTGTATGAAAAACTGTAGCCTAAATACATTATTAATTAATGTTATTATATTCCATTAGTCCTTACATTGTCTACATTAATAATATAATACAATTCAATATGTATATCCCACATTTCATAGTGCAGTTAATATTAGTAGGCTAACGTTACAGTAAATCCGTGGTAAATGATGGGAATTTGTAGACGGAAAAGCCTTCTGACTGTATCGTTGCGCAGTGTCTCTCCTGTTCGTCAGCGCTGTTTCATCTGCCTTTAAACTGGTTTAAATCACTGAGACATTTGTGTTCTTTGCTGAATTCAAGCACTTCTCACTGGATCTCGTGACTGAGGCCGATCAGAGTAAACTCATCTGCTCTAGTGAGCTCGCGCTGCGCTGCCGGTTGGACTTTGAGGCGAGCGGATAAACAGTCTGTGAGGCGCGCGCGGTTCAAATGAGTCTCGTTCCGCTTTTGGCACATAAACATTATCGAACATTTATCGAACTCTTGATATCGTTTTATCGAGAAAAAATATATCGCGATAACTATCGTTATCAGTTTATCGCCCAGCCCTAGGTTCATTTTGCGCCGGAATTCTCCTTTAATGTGCGTGCACATGCATGTCAGTGATTTCTAAGGGTCTCTACATGCAAACCGAAGCATTGAGAACTTTGTATGTGTACAGACAGTTTAATAAGAAGATACTTTGATCTTCTTATTAAAGAGGAAATTTATATTACATTTGAGAGCACCAACTGAACCTTCTCAGGTCCATTTAGCTTCTTTTCCAATTTTTCTGATGTTAATGTAATAGTTTTCTGTATGTTACAATACAAAACTAGTCTAATGCAGAGATAACATTATGTAATAATCATCTGTAGTTATTGAGTGCAGCTTCAGAGATAAAGGTGCTTGTGCAAGACCTTTGTGTATATTCAGCCTTAAAGGAGAATTCCGGTCAATTTTAACATTGAGCTCATTTTTTGGTAAATTTGGAGTGCTGTCAGTACAGAGAACAACGACAAAAATCGGTGTTTCCTACACTGTGTTATCCTCTTTTTAAAATTTACACCCTGTTGACGTAAATGGGGCAAGTTTTAAACCTGCTTTTAGCCTCTTAACATCCTTGATGTGTCATTACAAGTGCACAGCCATGTGAGTGATTTTATTCAGATTGAACACAGTGAATCTGACTGCAGTAGATGTGAAAGATATGAATAAAATTGATGTTTATTCAGCCAACTCACATACCTGTATTTACTTCTGTTTTCGGACGAAGTCCACAGTAGTTGATTGTCGAGTTCGTGCGTGCGATCATTGGTAACTAAGCAACAGTGGAGAACTCGACAATCAACTACTGTGGACTTCAACCGAAAACAGGAAGTAAATACAGTCGAGAGATTTCTGTATTTTGTGTCTGGAAAAAATCTCAGATGACGCAAAAATCGTCATTTAGCGTTATCGGAGGCTTTTTTGGCTTGAGACTACAGCCAGTAGTAGGAGCTAGTTCCACATTTCGTAGGGCAGTGAAGCAAGTGCATTCTGGGAGTTGTTGTATTTCATCCACATGAGCCAAAAATACATTTTCTGGCTTTTCTCAGTCTAGAAGGCACTGACTTCTAAAATAATTTCTCATTTCTACTACACAAATGACCCAATTTAAATACACTTTCATCTTTCCAGCGGTGAAGTATCCCTTTAAGAGACTGATTCAACTTTCACCCAACTCCATGTGGACATGCTTGTTTTGTTTTATTCTCAAAAAGAACATGTGAAACAATATAAACACAACCATTATATGAAGATATGTTATATGTTTATGTACATTCTCTACTTTTTGATTAGCCTTTTTCATTTGCTCTACGTGAGCTTAAATGCTTTGGTTCTATACTTATTGTTTATGTGCATTGCTTCTAAATGTTTTCAAGAACTAAATCAATCAAAAAAGGTATATTGTATGCTGCTTGTGCATATAATTATAATCTTGTTCTGAAATGAAAAAAAAAATCTAAGTGAATAAAAAATAACTTCACACCATCTTTCTCATTAAACTTAATTTAAAAAAATAGAATATTCCTTTATTATGAGCTCAAATATTAGAAAAAGTCTTAACCCTTTGTAAATAAATATGCAACATCTGTATATGTTTTGAAGTTATTTTGAGTAATATGTCATGTGATTTTTGTCTCCAGCTCTTCAGCATGCTGGCAAGCACATGGAGGACAGTATTGTGGCGTCATACACTGCACTGCTTTTGGGCTGTCTGTGCCAGGGGAGCCCTGTAAGTAAAACACTCACGTACCTCAATGTTTTCCATTTTGTATCTCTAATGCATGGTTTGTATCTGTGTCTTCTCAGAATCTACATTTTCCTCAAAGTATAAAGAATATAATTTATTATTAATGTCAGGTATGCATTTAGCTATGCAAGACTACAAACTTTCGTCTAGAGACCCTTTCTGTCCTCTACAAGTGGTCTCTTGTGCCCTCAGTCACTTTAAGGTCAGAACAAACCCAGGCTGGACCAATATAAGCATAGCATTTATTGGTGCAGAGCTTTTGCTGTTCAAATTCCTTTGCAAGGTTTGAGGGTTGTTTGTCTAAATTGCAGTTTTCAAGTTTCAAGGCAGTTATCAGAAGAAAGCCCCTGAGTTGTGTTTGCCAGTATTAATGGCTTTATTTTCAGGACGTTAATAGGTGGGCTGTTGAATTGTCTGTAATGGACTCCTTTGTTTCTCTTTCACACCACACTGTTGCTTTCTGACTGACACACACGGCCATTATCTGTCTCGCCAATAAACACTGCCCAGACGCAGACACAAAACGAGATGGGATTTATACTCGTAGTTCACCCACTTTTCCTTTTGGATGCATGTTTGCACACTTTGAAGGTCAAGTTTGATTCTGTTTTTGAAAAACAAAGCAAATTGACTCGAAGTAGGATTTCTTTTGTAAGGTACATCATCCTGTTGGCACTTTAGATTTATGTTAGGAGGCGTCCAAGTTTGTGTTTGTGTTTTTGAAGAACGAGTACTATGGAGACTTTTGGAGCGTACTGAAAAAATGATGGCCAGAGATGCAGTGCTGCTGCTTTGATCAACAGAGACTTGCTTTAAAAATCTCCAGACTCTTTCAGCACTGGCCTGCAGTGTACTGTAACCTCGCAGGAGGAACAGGCTGCTAATTCTGTTTCTCTTTCAGATGAATGTGACTACTGTGAGGGAGAACCTGCCAAAAGGGGATTTTTCGGTCATGACAGAGATGCTGAAGAAGTTCTTGAATTTCATGAACCTTACAGTAAGTACACAAGTGATTGACCAGTATCATATTCTCAATGGGCGATGCAGGGTTGCTGACATTTTCGTGATAATTTCAGTAGTCGATACCATACCAGCAAAATGTCTCAATTCGCAAAAACAATTTCAATATCACTGCTATTATGTTAAAAGAGTGCTAAAGGGATGACGCAATTTTGTAGGCCGACCCGGAAGTCACCATCACCCGGTACCCTGGTTTGGATTTTTGCTGTGATGACGTTTAGTGTCCATGACAAACTCTTTAGTAGTACCATTTTCAGGCATTTAACCAAAGACCCATTGACTTTGGGACAGTGGGACCAGAAGGTCAAAAATCCCAACTCATTCCTGCAGTGCTCTATAGACCAATTTTCAGTTGGTAAACATGGTGACGTTTTTCTGTGGGCGGAGCTTAGATGGTGGCAGAACGATCCCTCTGGCTGCTTCCCTAACGTTAGTATGCAAGTTTTGTTAGCTTGTTTTTAACAATGACTGGAGAAAATCCGATTTTATCTTAATGTGCAAGGTCAGTCACTGTCCAGGACCGCGATTTTTATTTGCAAAAGTTAATTTTAACGGACGGAACCAGATTGGCTGATCTGTAGCCGTTACACGCTCACTCAATGCATGGACGATCTGACAGGATTAACGTTACCTCGGTTGGGTGGCCTGACTTCTACACCTACCTTATAGAGAAACCGAGCGTAAAGAGAAACTGAGGGCATATACATCTTTAGATGCCTATAACTATGTGATGAATGGTCACGTACAAGACTTGTGTGGTACGATCCGCAGTTCTGCCTAGCCAGAGCCAAGAAGACGACAATGTAAAGAGTGACATTACGGTGCAATTTTAATGATGTGAATATTTTCTAGAAATAAAAATTCCAGATACAGCATATTCATTTTTCATTGATTCTAGCACCCAACAACACAACAAGATGACATTTAATAATAATAACAATAATTTAAGCTCCTTATTATGTAGCCGAATCTGTGCTGGTTTGTATTAGGGATGTGCACGAATATTCGAATTTTCGAATATTCAATCTGTAATTATTATTCGAAAAATAAAATACTATTCGAATTTTACTACATTGCTTTGCTGGCCGTAAATGCAGTGAATCCATGATAAATCCCAAGCACTAACTCGCAGTTATAATTAAATGCACAGGGTGGCGCTGTGGGGTGTGTTAACAAGTTGTGTGTATTTGATCACATAATGTTGTCGTCTGCCTCGCGAAGTTTGGAATTGCTTGAAAATGATCTTACTAAATGGAATTACTTTTGATCGAATTAATTAATTAATCTGAGTTATAATATCAACACAATGAGAAATCACATGAAATCCAAACAGTCGAATGAGGAAAGACAGCTGTCCATCACTGCATTCACGACTGCAGGTAAGCGCAGCTGGACCCCGCGTGATCCGAAATGATAACTTATCTTATAGCAAAAAGATTTTGAGACATATACTTCCTTTAGGTTTCGTTGAGGGAGACAGGTTTAAGAACAGAAAACGCAAAGTGCTGTTAGAAACTTAGAACACCGTTATCTTTGTGTCTGTCAGCTAGGGATGGGCATTCGATTAAATTTTCTTAGTCGATCGTCGGGAGAATTAACGATCGACTATCGATTAATCATTAATATTTTTTATATATTAAAATTAATTATTTATTTAACTTTTTATAAATTAAAAATGCAATGAAAATACAAAAATACAGCGTGTTTTTCCTCGATGAGATCTTTATTACAAGATAATCAACTTGCGGCAGTTAAACTGGACATTCGGCTAAACTTGAAATATGCGCTGCGGTGCTCTAAAAAGCAACAAAACCTGCAGCTGCGAGTTGGCGTCCTCAAACAGAGACCCGATCGTTTGTTCCAAAATAATAATAAAAAAAATCATGTTAAACAATAACTTAACCAAAAACATAATAATACTCAATGTAACTCAAAACTATCCAAGGTACGAAGTCGAGAAAGAGTGTGAGAGAGATTAGCCTACCTAGCAACAAATTAGGCTACTTAACAAAGCCTCAAAAAAAATATCTATTAACTCACATAAAACTTCTGCACCAGTCTACTGATTTTTGTTGAGAAAGATAAGCATGTTGATGACATGGACTGGGCCTGGGGTCAGACGCGACCGCAACATGGTGACCGTCAAGCCTCGTTTATACTTTTGCCTGGCTCTGCAGCGTGAGTCTCCGCAAACGGACGAGGCGTTTATACTCCACGCGCTCGCCTGTAAAACGCCGAATACCGCAATGACGTCATTTTTGCCTCGCGCACCTTTGCTCGTGCTTGTGCGGACGCGTCGAGGTCGAGTGTAAACAAACTCTTCAGTCCAGCCGCCGAAAACACCCGCTCTGAGGGGACTGACGTTGCCGGGATGCACAGGTACCTCTGCGCTAACTTGACCAGCCCGGGAAACAACTTATTCCGTTCACTTTCCACCCGTCTGCAGTGGTGCAATCCAGCGGTTCATTGCTTCAAGGCTCACATTACGCAACGCAACCATATTACATTTACATTTAGTCATTTAGCAGACGATTTTATCCAAAGCGACTTACAACTGAGGACTAAACCAAGCGAGTCATCGTGAAGAGGCAAAAGCAACGCAAGAAGTGCTCAAAATACAAAGTTCAGACATAGCTCGGAGTAGCATAAGCCAGGCAAGCGAGGATTTAGAGGAAAGGATTTTTTTTTTTTTTTGTTTTATCGATAACAAATTAACATGATCGACGAAATTCTTAATGATCAATTATCGATCGTCGATTAATAATGCCCATCCCTACTGTCAGCGCATCGCCTTTTCTCACTCGAGCATAAATTGCTGGCGGCGCCCCTGCATGTGGATATTGTTTTTCTCAATAAAAACGTGAAACAATATAAACACGATAATCATATGCTGACTCGTGTGTGTGTGTACGTTCTGTACTATATCTGGCGCAATCTGCTTTATTAGGCGTTTTTTTCCCGTTCGTGCTGCTTAAGCATGCTTTTATTAATGCTTTTGTTTTTTATATTTTTTGTTTACACATAGGCCTACTGTTTAATGTTTTCAACTAAAAGAAAACTTTAACATATATTGTAAGCTTGTTGTGTATATTGCCTAATTGTAAGCTTGTTCAGAAATGGTGACAAAAACGTGAAAAAAAATTTAACTTAAAAAATAACGTCTTTTTCGTTAAAAGTCATTTAAATAAACGAATATTCGAATATTCGATTTTTATGAGCCCGAATATTCGAATGCAATATTTTTGAAAAATGCCCATCCCTAGTTTGTATTGGCTGCCTGCAGTTTTCCCTTCGTTTTGCCTCCAGCTAGCGCCGTGACGTAACTGTGACGTCGGCTCGAAATTGGTCTATTGTATGATTTTGAAATGATAATCAGCATATCTAAAATCTAAGTATGGTAACACCCTACAATATGGTTCCATTTGTTAACATTAGTTAATGTATTAACTAACATGAACTAACAATGAGCAATACATTTGCTACAGTATTTCTTAAACTGTGTTAATGTTAGTTAAAGCTGCAGTCCGTAGCTTTTTTGGGGTTAAAAATTATCCAAAATACATATTTGAGAAAATGCATAACCAGCCTGTGTTCAAAACTATCTGCTTGCCTTAGCTCGATTCAAAGCGGTAAGCTTGTAATAATGTTTTTAACTCCAGTGGTACTGGTGGATTTCCGCGGGAGATTCGAGCATGTCTTTGCGGCATTACGTCACATCTGTACACATAAAGGAGTCTCGGCTAGTAGGCTATATTGCGTGTGAGGATGTTTGAGGTGGAGATTTATAGCCTTTTCTCACAGCACTTGATATAATTAATCTTATCAATTTGATGGCGGATCCAGAAAGGTTCAAACGACAATCACCAGTGCCAACAGATTCACCCGTTGTAAAATGCAAAAAACTTAGTTCGGACTTCGGAGCGGCTACATAAAAAAAGAGAGACTGCAACCGTCCCATGTGAAAACAAGGATACATATCGGAAGGACATTACATGTAGTCACGCAATGCTGACGTTGTTAACATGAACAATTTGAGAACAAAGTATAATTTGCACGGTTTTGCGTGATATGACAACTTATAAGCGATTGTTAGATTTAATCAGCGCGATTTACTGCAATGTCAGAACCAGAACAAAAGTGGATGTTTCTTACTAGTTCAGATGACATTTTCCGGTGAAAATTCTTATGTTGGTCATACTTCCAAAAAGAATAATCTGTGATTCTGAATGCCAGCACAGTGATTGACAGCTGCACACTCTCAAACATTGTGTTCATCCGCGCTGTGCCGTGTCGAGGGTGTTGAAGTACAACTCACGTAAAGTTGATAATTCCGTGAATGACTGCAATTGCAGATTTCGAACAGAGATGGAGACAAAGAGGAAAAGCTGCGGACTGCAGCTTTAATAAAAATACTGTTGTTTATTGTTTGTTCATGTTAGTTCACAGTGCTTTTACTAATGTTAACAAATACAACTTTTGATTTTAATAATGTATTAGTAAATGTTGAAATTAAAATGAACTAAGATTAATAAATGCTCTAGAAGTATTGTTCTTTCGGTAACGCTTCCTTTTACAGTACAATACTTGCGTGTACTTACAGTGTACTTACCTAGAAAGTACTGGCTAATATAAGGTAAGTACATGGGTTAGGGGTAGGTTCAGGGTTAGTACCTAGTTATTACCCAGTAATTGTAATTACTATAATAAGTACATAGTATGTACATGGGTAACAGGACTGTAAAAAGGAAGCGTTACCGTTCATTCTTAGTTCATATTAACTAGTCAAGTTAAGTCACCTTTATTTATATAGCGCTTTTTACAATACAGATTGTATCAAAGCAGCTTCACAGTGATAACATGAAATTAATACAACAAAGTTTATTTCTAAAAGAAAATTGCATCATCGTCCACCTGAAGTAAGGCAGATCAGTAATTTTGTTGAATATTAAATGTCCCCAACTAAGCAAGCTAACAGCCAAGGCAACAGTGGCAAGGAACCAAAACTCCACCAGGTGACAGAATGGAGAAAAAACCTTGGGAGAAACCAGACTCAGTCGGGGGGCAGTTCTCCTCTAGTCAACTAATGTTAACTAATGAAACCTTATTGTAAAGTGTTACTTAAAGTGCAAATAATGACTTTATTATAAAAAAGCAATGAAGAATTTGTAGCAATATTTTTATTTTATTTTTTCTACATTTTGTTCTTGGACACAATGTCAATAAACAACATGTACTTAAATATTTTTGGGGTTTGGAACTTTTACATGTGACCATTACACTTTATTGCCCTTGTTATGCTTGCTAGTTGCTACATGTATTTACTATAGTAATAGCAGTAAAAAAAATAGTAATTATACGCAACCAACACCGTGTCTACACCAGACGTGAGTGATGCTGTCTACACTGGATGCCGCGACATAACACAACAAATTCCAGACAGTAAACTGATGTCCTATTCTATTTCTAACGTACTCCAAGCCCTTACCGTACTTTGGAGTTGCTTTGTCACGTATACTGTAGAAAGGACACGACAACTGTCACTTTTGGTGAAGAGACGAAGTACATGTTGTTAATATTACTCAGTGCTTATTTGTGCAAGTACACTTGAACAAGGCCACATTAAAATAAAGTGTGATCCATGAGAGAAATTCCTCTTCTGTTAACTGGCTGAGTGGGTAAATTGAACCGCTATACTCTCAGAATGGCCAAATATCGACTGATTAATCGGTATATCATTAAAAAGTATGCAACATGAATATAGAAATATATGTAGGCTGGTACGTGTGTGTGAGCATGCTGTGATATTAATACTAATGTTCTGGCTCATTCGGTAGAGAAAACTAACAAGAAAGTTATACTTGACTGACCAATTGTGTGTTTGTGTCCTTTACAGTGTGATGTGGGCACCACGGGGCAGAAGTCTATCTCCAGGGTCATTGATTATCTGGAACACTGCTAGTGTTTTTCTGGAGCTCCACGCACAGACCTCAGCACACCCCTGCCCAACCCGACACACCTGGAAAACAACCCACCGTCATCATCCACCAGTACCTTCCTCATTCAGACTGTAAAGAATGAAGTTTAAAGCACATCACACACGGAACTCTATTAAAAGGAGCTGTTTTGATTGAGTTTGTCACAAGTTGTTCATCCGTTTCGTCTTCAAATGTTTTCGTCACGGCATAATTGTGTTTCTCACATCACAACCCTCCTTAATCTGCTGTCTATTGATCAGTCGCCTTGGAAGTTCGTTTTCATTGGCAGAAATAGAGTAGCTTTGATAAAACTTGTTAAAGGATGTCTTCCCCTCTGTTTGTTTAATTCCACTTTCAAGTCTGTAAATTCAAGAGCGCTCAACACTGACCTGACCGATTGGAGGGTGAATCCAAAACAGCATTCGCAATTCTGGTCCTCTTTGAAATGCCGTGAAGACATGCCCTCCTGGTTCAAATCCATTCTCTTCACTTCAGGATGTGCTCCCTTTGGGTTGCACAAATTCGTTTTTAATCAATAGCGCTGTGTCAAAGGTCTGCGAATGAATAAATTACATCGCTTTCCATTTCGCGAGGGCAGCAAAGGGACAAAGTGTTTTTGGAATGTTTTAGTAATCGTGACTCATAACCATATAGTCCAAATGCCATAACGTTAACTGTGAACTTAACCCTGATTTCCAAACATTGTAAGGCTCAAAATCAACAGTAAAACTTGTTAATATCATACAACAGCTTGGCTGCATAATCGTATTGTGCATGAGAGAGATGATTTGGGTTTGGGTCATGCCTACATGGTAACCCAGGTTCTGTGAAAATTCTTGTGCATGCGCTGCTACTGTGGTTTGGTTAGAGCCAAAGTTGCTGTGAGAATAACGCAGTTTTACAGAACACTGGTTACCATCTAGCAATGGCCTTGATGCTCAACAACTAAACTGAGCCACGCAACAAACTTCCATCCCACATTTCACTAGTTTGTGTCATAAACGCTGAATTTGTGATTGATTGTTTATTATTTTTTAATAGATTGAATTAAGCACTTGACGTCTCTTTGAGAAAGCCAGTCCAATTTTGACCCAAACCGTTCTCGTCTTCTCAAGTTTGTGTTTTCAGAAGCTCTCCATTTGTTCGCCTCTCAAGTGATCGCCCTCAACAGTAAGCTTTACGGAGGCTCATTTTAATGTCAGATGCTTAAGACGTTTTGCTGCCATCGTCAGCCCTTTCATGGGCGTAGACTGAAATAACTTTGTTTTTAATGCACTCAGCTTTGCAAAAGCAAATCTAGGGTCATTTGTTCCCCTCTCTCACTGCATAACTGTTTTTAATTTGACTCTGTTACACGAAACACTATGAGTTGAGTATTTTGTAGGTAGTCAGTGCCGAATTCTGGGCACAGTCCTGCAGTGTCAGTGAGCTCCAAACATCACCACGGGATGAATTCACACAGCGGAGCGGAGCGGGGCGGAGGGGGGGGGGGACTGAATGAAGCAACCTGAACTGTAAATACTCGTGTAAATATTGGCTGTTGGAGAACTAGATAGACTACTTTTCTGAATTCAATTGTTTTATTTTATACTGCGTTTTTCTCAGTTGTGTTCTTTGAGGTAAGCATTATCGAAAAGCCAACTGCAGGAACACGAAATTTGTACCAATTTCAAAATAATGTCTTTGGTTACTTGTACATAATTTTAACGCAAATAAAAATTGCTACTTTCAGTACTTTTTACGTCTCGTTTTTGGTGTCTGATTGGCATAGGCAAAATATCATTATTACTACTGGTACTAGGGGTGTCGCAATATACCGGTATTGACGATAATCGTGATATTCAAAGCTTGAAATATCGACATCGTGTTAATTTAGAGTGTGGCAATATACCGGTATTGGCGATAACCACGATGTTTAAAATGAATAGGACTTTTATGATGACATGACACGTATACTCCAGCGCCAGTCGAGGTGGCAGTATTGCACCCGCTGACATCTATCAAATGAGAAGAATGGTGCGTTCACGTGCTATGGAAAATATATTTTCCACTTGTGAACTGGTATTTACCAGTGTGTTGCGTTCAAGTGCTTTTGTTGTCGTAATGTGGTAAAAAGATGGAGATCCAGACCTGTTATTTAGCTAAAACTATTTTAGATTGCTTAAGTCATCTGCTACAGCAAGAAAATGATTTATCAAAACTCAAACGTAAATAATATATGCTGTATATTTTCTAGATCATGAATAGTACATATTTTTACCATTCACAACTCTTGCGTTGCTCTCCGCCATTTTGAAAAGGTCAAAATATTCTACGAGTTGCCCAGTGGAAAATACCACATGAGGGGGTGTTCATGTGCATTTTCCATGTCGACTTTTGGTATTTACCATAATTACCATAGCACGTGAACGCACCAGAAGGAGAAGGAGGTCTCTGCAGAGCAACAAGGGGCGTGCCTCAATTTGGGGGCGTTTTACAACCAGGTAGGCGTTTTACAATCTCTCTGCCTGGTTTGCTAAAACTTGAGTGGGTGATACTTGAATACGCTTTCCCCATCAGATATTCAGATATTAGTGATAGCGAGAAAACGGTACAGTCTATGGGTGAAATGAGGAGAGAGGTCACCTGTCCTGCATATGGATGTAAGTGGATTTGTGTAAATTCTCATTTTACGTCAGTTAACGCTAATTAGTTTGTGTAAACTTGCTTGCAACACGATTAAGAAAAGCTCCAAGAGGTCTGCCACTTACAATCTATCGCTAACCACTATTAGCAAACATTCGCTAACTTTTTGGTGCATGCGTTTGTTACTTTAGTGTTGATAGTGGTAGTTTGCTTACTGTCGGTGTATTTTAATATAAAAAAATAGTTAACGTTAGCTTGTCAGACTAGAAAACAATAGTTGTAAACAAATATTAGTGGGCTATTCCACCGAATTATGGCCCGGTTTCACAGACAGGGACAGGGTTTAGCCTAAACCAGGATTAGTCCATAGTTCAATTAGGACATTTAAATAATTTTCATAAACATGCTTAGAAAAAAAAAAACATTACTGGTGTTCATCTTGAGACAAAACAAAGACACTGATATATTTTAAGATCAGTCAGTGCAAGTGTATTTCAGTTGGAACAGCTCAGACTTATTTGGTCTAGGACTAGGCTTTAAAATTGTTTGTGAAACCAGGGGATATAGGTAGCCTACTAATATGTTCTATAAATACAATAATAAAAAAATAAATAACTATAAATACATTTTAAGGAAAGTGTTGTGCACATTAATCTAACTGCAAATTCTGTCTAATTAAAAATGATTAAAAACGATTAATTTTTTTTTGTGGATAAATTACGTTTTCATTCAGTCCAGAACCCACTCCCTTCATATAAGAAATGGTGTTTGAGTGTGAGGTGCGCTGTAAGAAAACAAGAAAAGCTGAAAAAGCATTGCTTGTTAAGTTTATTATTTTTAATATCAATTTTAATGTAATATTTATAATTTTTCTGTTATTTATATTATATCTCATAACCCTAACAAAAACCTCTGCAGACACCTAGATTTAAATAGAAACATGATTTGACCTTTTTTAGCTGTGAGATCAGCTCACTAGTCAATGTTCAACACTCTTCATTATATCAGTGCAGGCATTAATACCTCACATGTGTAGTCAAACCTATAGACTAACATAATTATGTACAGTGGAGGAAACTTGTTAAATTAAAATGGATGAAATTGTTGTCTATTCACCACATCACAATTCAGCGGAGAGGACAAGAGCCTCAACCACAGCGCTACCTTGCAGATACTAATTTATTCACATGCCCCTTCTGCACATCTCAAATATGTAAACCCAGACATTATCATCAAATAGTGGCCCATATAGCTGGGCATAAAATAAGGCCCCAGCAGCACCTGATCCACCACAACAAACTCCTTCGCTGGCCCCAGCAGCACCTGATCAATGAAACTTGATATACTGTATTATTAATGTGTTTTTATGTCATAAATTTATCAAGATCGGTCATGGAAATCCAGCAAAGAAAGAGAAGGCGGACTGACAAGCCACACAAAACTGGTATGATTTATTTTGTTTGAGGTGCTCTATTATTTATAGTAAATGTTGACTGTTATTTACTGATGTTCTTCATTTGTCCCTTCATAGTGGCAACTGTTGACCAACCCCTGAACATACAGGAGGCATGTATTTGTTATTACTCAATTTATAAAATGCAAGGGAATCATTATAACCACAAGAAGTTCAGATTATGTTTTGTTCATGTATAGCTTCCTCCGCTGGTCCTTCGTGAAATCTTACTGGAGGTTGTGCTTCAAGATGGTGATGTTGCAATTGGCTCCCTTGCCCTCACCTGCAGGTGCTTCAACAGCATTGTGAGCATGGAAAGTTTCCGCCGAGAGGCTCACTTTCGGTGGTTGGACAGTAAGTTTTATTAGTGTCACTGTTTGGTTAATCACAGCTCTCTCTGTTTTTCTCAGTTATGTATGGTTGAATATTAAGACAATGATGAGGTCAGCTGACAACTTTTTTTTTTAGGTGTCGTGAACTGGAAGGCATTCAGTGAAAATGTCAGAAACCTGTACAGGGTTCCATACAGTCTATCCAGATGTCTCCATTTTGATACTACATACAAAGACTGTGGCGAAGGCTACAGAGGAAGAGGGCAAAGAGGTGTGTTGCAGGGGTTCTATGGCTCTGATGACTCCCCAGGATACTGCGGAGACTGTTTCTATGTGGCTGTGGAGGAAGCATCTAATGTTTCATGCAATGTGTTCCTCATGTTTGAACTTGCCACATTTATTGCTTATTTTATTTGATTGGATTGGATGCTCTCTTTTTTACTATTACATTAAATAGAGAATGCTGCATTTATCAATACAGTTTTTCATCATATTGGTTACAGTATCTATACGGTCAATAAAGTGATGCTAATGTTTAAAGTTTTCAGAGTCATTATTCTAAGTAAACACATTTTACCTTAATTTAAAGGTCAATACGTTTTACTTTATATATCATTTAATGTAAGCTACAAATATCACTTAAATATCAGTCATTACATATAAATATATTTTGAAAAATACAGGTGAGAAAGACCAATACAATAATTTTCACCATTGCTTTACAGTAGGATTTGGTAACTTTATTGGAAATTGAATTTTTCCTTGTTAATCACCGTTACAACTTGATTTATGTTGTGTTGTTCACACACACACAAAACGAAAATAAAACTAATGTAATTATAAATAGTTGAGTAATAAAGTAATTTTTAATACTTTTACCTT